GCTGCGGGGCCGCGGTGCGTAGCAGAGCTCAGCACCTTTACACCGGCGAGCAAAGGCCGTCACCGCCGAAGGAGCGGCAGGGAAGGCGAGGTGGGGGGAAGGAGGAGGGGTAGGCAGACACTGTGACCCCGCGGGCAGCGCTTTGATGCTCCTTAATTATTGCAGCTTTAAGTGGGGCAGGCGCGAATCCGAGCCCAGCACGGCAAGGGGACACGGCCGGGTCCCTGCTCAGCTGGGGGTGTGGAGGCCCCCAGGGAGGCTGAGCTCCCCCGGGGCTGAGGAGCAGCGGGGCTGGGGTGGGGAGGGGGGCACGTCCCCAGCCTGGCAGCACGCAGCACGAGGGTCCCCATGTCCACGTGGGGCACTGCCAGCACGGCTCCGCCTCATGGCACAGGGATCCCCGCGTCCCCATAGGGCGTCAGCAGCACGGCTCAGCCATGTGCGATGAGGGTCCCCATGGGGCATCGTCTACATGGCTCAGCTACGTGGGATGAGAATCCCCATGGGACGTCCATAGGCTCACCACATGGGATGAGGATCCCCGTGAGTCTCAGTCCACACGGCTCATCCTCATGGCACAGGGATCCCCATGTCCCTGTAGGGTTTCACCAGCATAGCTCATCCAAATGGGATGCAGATCCCCATGGGGCACTGTGCACGCAGCTCAGCCGTATGGGATGAGGATCCCACGAAGCACAGCCCAGCACCTCAGCCTGCAGGCAGATGGTGCCATTTTCAAACCAGCCTGACCCCCTCTGGCCTCCCCACCCACTGCCCCCCAGAGGGGGTGCAGCCCCTGCCTGATGACCCTGGGGATGTTGGTGAGGCTCCGCACATCCACCTCCAGCCATTGCCTTGCATCCTCCTGCCCCGCACACCAACCACCTTCCCCTGCCCACACTGCACTGACACGGCACAGCAGCGCTGGTGGGGGCACAGCATGAGGTCCGGCAGGCCCCCAAAAGCCCCCCAGCACCGACTGTGTGCAGCTGCAGTGCAGTGACCCCATTCTGGGCTGCGGAGGAGCCACGTTGCGCCGAGCTCACAGCATGGGCATGAGCCACGTGAAGGCACGAAGCCACACACAGGCACAGTCATGACACACGTGTGCACATCCACGGCACGCTCCTCACACCCTTCCCACAGTCTCTGTTTATTTCTCAGCGGTGCAGGAGTAGGGAAAGCCCTGGGGGCGGCTGGGCAGCTCGAGGCGGTAATGGATGAGATAGAAGCAGATGAGGCTGGAGAACAGAGACGGGCTGGTTTCGGCCACCTTCCTGAAGCCCTGCCTCTCGTACAGCCGCTGGGCCACCAGCTGCACCGTGGAGGTGTACAGCACGACAGCTCTGTAGCCCCGCGCCTGGGCGAAGCGCAGCACCTCCCCGCACAGCGCCTTGGAGATGCCGTGGCCACGGTGATCCCTGCTGACCGACAGCCGCTTCAGCTCCATGGCCTCACCGCGCGGCGATGGGGCTGCGCCCACCATTCCCACCACCGCCCCGCCGGCCTCCGCCACCCAGAAGCAGGAGTCGGGCGCCCGCATGTAGGAGCCGCGGATGTCGCACAGGTCGGCGATCAGCGCTTCTGTCACGAAGGAGAAGCTGAAGGAGCGCATCACGGGCCAGGCGGCCGCCAGAGCCAGCGCCACGGCTGCCAGTGCCAGCAGCCAGCTGCCGGCTACGGCACGCACAGCCGTGAACAGGGCCAGCAGCCCCAGCTGCACGTGTGCCAGGCGCAGCACGTGGCGGTACATGGCCGGGGCGTGCTCGATGATGCCACGGGCAAACAGGGAGCGCACGGCATCGTAGTCCTCATCGCGGTACAGACGGATGCGGTAGGGAGCCATGGGCACTGGG